GTTCAAACCCACCAGCCACTCCTTGGAAGGAAGATGGGGCAATCTACTTCTGTAGTGATACTGCCTCGGAAACCCAAGAAGGGGTCGCTATGAGTCAGGTCCGACTCGACAGCACACAACAACAACAACAAAGAGGAAAAGTTACAGAATAGGTCAAACTCATTTCTTTTTATTTAGAGCATAGTGGCTAAGACACTTGACTGCTAACCAGAAGGCTGGCGGTTCAAACCCACCAGCCACTCCTTGGAAGGAAGATGGGGCAATCTACTTCTGTAGTGATACTGCCTCGGAAACCCAAGAAGGGGTCGCTATGAGTCAGGTCCAACTTGATAGCACATAACAACAACAACTTTTTAGAGAACAGCAATCACAGAAGCAATGAACAGGTTCTAGCATTTGAAATCTAACTGGATTTTTTCCTTGTTCTTTTCCCTCTAAGTAACTGGTATCAACATGAGCAAGCCATGTAGACTTTATCAGAACATTCACCCATGTTTCAAGAGTCTTTTATCTTTTAGATATAAACCAAAAAAAAAACAAACTCACTGCCATCAAGTTGGATCCGACTCATAGCGACCCCTCCTTGGGTTTCCAAGGCTTTATCATTATGGAGGTAGATTGCCCAACCTTCCTTCCAAGGAGTAGCGAGTGGGTTTGAACCGCCAGCCTTATGGTTAGCAGTCAAATGCCTTAGGCACTATACCACCAGAGCTCCCCTCTTTTAGATATACATACTGAAATATTTACAGATGAAGTGGTATGTCTGGGATCTGCTTCAAATAATCTGAGGTGGGGTATAGATGAAAAAGGATTAACCAAATGTTTACCACTGCTGAGGCTGGGTACATGCAGGTTCACTATACTATTCAACTTCTGTATACATTTGATGTTTTTCTATAATCAAAAGTTAAAAAACACTCATATGCACTGAAGCATCTTCTGATAATGTCTGCCATAATTCATTACTATCTCAATTATAATAGTGTTTACCAAGGCTTAGAATAAGTTTATTCTTAAAGATTCCCAGGTAGGAGAGTGCACCCATAACCATGTATAGGGTTGGCAGACAATGTTTCTACAAGTGTATCTGTATGTTCTATAAGAATGTCCAGGTATATAGTAGAGCTCACAAGGGACAAAGTTGTAGTCACCTCTTGGCCACAGCCAGCTATCCAGAGGGAGCGAGCAGTTGAACCTGTGGGCTCAGGGCCATGGTCGCTGGGGTCATCAGCTCAATTGGCCTAACATACTACACAAAAACTTTGTTCTACATCCTACTTTGGTGAGTAGCGACTGGCATCTTAAAAGCTTGCAAGCAGCCATCTAGATACAACAATGGGTCTCTCCTTGTCCAGAGCAAAGAAAAATGAAAAAAACAAAGCTGCACGGAAACAATTAGTCAAAGGGACTAATTGCAATCCTCAGCCTATATGACCATGACACCAGACTAAATGGTACCCGGCTACCACTGTCAACCACTTGCAGGGGGATCTATGCAGGAGATCCTGGATGGAGTAGGAGAACAATGTGGAACCAAACTCAAAACCATTTAAAAAAAAAAAAAAAGGACTAGGTTTACTGATCTGATGGAGCCTGGTGAAACCCAGGACTACAGTCTCAAGTTGCCCTTCAGTCTGCAGTCTGGAATTGAACCCACTCCTTCCAACCAAATAAAAGAAAGGCATATGAGCTGAACATTTGCATTAGGTAGATACACTCCTGGGAGAATAGAAGGGCAGCGTATGTACAGGGAGACAGCTGGGGTGGGGGGTAAGAGCGCCATGGGAGGACACAGGGAAGAGGGAGCTATGAGGGGGAAGTAGGAAGACAGCTGTTACATCATGGGAAATTACAATCAATGTCATGACATAAAATATGCATGAACTGCTGTATGGAAAGTGAATCTGCTCTGTAAACTTTCACCAAAATCACAATAAAAAATTTGAAAAAAAGATTCCCAGGTGATTCATATTAAGAAACACCTGGGGATCTTGTTAAAATGTAGATTCTGATTCAGTATATTTGGGGTGGAATGCAAATGCTCAGCAGGGAGTCAAATTAGAATGAACTGTTTTCAAACCCAGGTTTCTACTAGCGTAGAAACCACTGCCAGGGAGTCAATCTGACTCATACTGACCTCCACTGTGTTTCCAAAGCCGTAAATCTTTATGGAAGGAGACAGACTCATCTTCCTCCCACAGAGCAGCTGGTGGGTTTGATCCACCGACCCTCTGGTTAGCAGCCAAATGCCTTACCTACTATGCCACCAGAGCTCCTTGTTATTATACCAACCTCAAAACAAACTCACTGCCGTCAAGTCGACTCATAGCGACCCCTCCTTGCGTGTCTGAGGCGGTATCTCTACAAAAGTAGATTGCCCAGTCTTCCTTCCGAGGAGTGCCTGGTAGTTTTGAACACCAGCCTTCTGGTTAGCAGTCAAATGTCTTAGGCACTACATCAGTCCCTACCAAATCCTCCTTTTCCTAAGTGTCTCTTCCTCACTTTTTACTCCACTTACGTTGCCACTACATAATCCAAGTCTTCAATGAGCATGTTTGTCAGCAGTAGACTCCTTAACAGCCTTCAATATGGTTCCTCCCAGGGGCACTGCTGGCATTTTAGCTGGGACAATTCTTTGTGGTGCCAGAATGCCTGAACATTCCGAGACATTTGGCATCCATGCACCGGTGGTACTAAATGCCAGGCAGCAACACTACCACTACCCCATTGGGATAACCAAAATCCCACACACATGCATTTCCTAATGCACCCACCATGGCCACCCACCATAGAGAAACACTTCTAACCCTGGGTTGTCAGACACTCACTTTGTGTCCCAGCTTACTTGAGTATTGTAATAGCTCACACAACTTTCTTTTATTCAAGCCAGCCTTTTCCTGGTCATACTCCAACTTCTACCACAATAATCACCCTCTAAGCCATTCAGGCCAGTCTCATTATCATCCATTTCACGCTATTACTTCCACATGCAAACTGTTCTTGGAAAATCTTCCCCTTTGCCAGTCTATATCCTGCACTTTCTTCAAAGTCAAATTCAAATCCCATTTCCCCCCCTAAATTTTGTCCACCCTCAAGTACCACCATGACTTTTCCACTCCTCTCTAAGCAAACCACACTTTCTCATCCTTGAGTGTCTTTACTGAGTTGAGTTCTTTCTACCTCTTTCTCCTCTTCCAAAATTCAACTCACCTATGTAAGCCCAAGGAGCTCTGGTAGCATAGTGTCCAAGGCACCTGACAGCTAACCAGAAGGCTGGCGGTTTAAACCCACCAGCCACTCCTCGGAAGGTAGGCTGGGCAATCCTACTTCTGTAGTGATACCACCTCAGAAATCCAAGGAGGGGTCACTATGAGTCAGGGCCGACTCGACCACAAACATGTAAGCCCAACTCCACTATTAGATTTTTGCCAAAAAGCCTTCTTTGAGCAGCCTCCTCCCTCAAAATTAATTGCTCCCTGTGGAGCAAATATTCATAATGATGGCGGTCTGGTGGTGCAGTGGTTCAAGCATTCAGCTGCTAACCAAAAAGTCAGCTATTCAAACCCACCAGCCACTCCTGGAAAGATGAGATGGTCTGCTTTCATAAAGATGTGCAACTTTAGAAATCTTCTGTCCTGTGAGTCAGAATCGACGTGATGGCACTGGGTTTGGATTTTTTTTTTTTTTTTTTTTTTGGTTTATCTATGATGGTACCACAGTATTTGCCAAACTTTGTTGTATAAAACTCTTTCCCCAAGAAAACTGAGTTCTAAAAGCACATATGCTCTGCCTAGTTTTGAAAACACCAATAATACCTCAAACACTGAGCTGTTCAATAAATGTTTACTCTCTCCTCAGTACAACACTTGACTGTACTGTTTTTGCAGTAATACACGCCTTCCCCCCCAGATGTTCTAGTAACTATTTTCAGGTTAATTATCGTAACTTCAAGGTCTCTGCAAACTCCCAACTCTGCTTTAAGTACCAGGCATAACACAGGCAATTAACTTAACCTGTCACCAGATTTGGTTTTAGCCATATTTAAGGAGGAACATGAAACTACCACTTTGACTCTACAGTGTGGACCAATATCATAAACCAACCTCACAATGAAGAGCCTCGACTGCAAACTTATGCACTCTCATTTTAAAAAAAAAAACAAAAACTTATTTAACACTTCAATTACTCTACCAAGCCGACTATTTTGGGTTCCTAAGGAGCTTTCCGTTTAAATGAGTGAGCTTTAAAGTGTCTATTCGGCTTTGTGACATAAAATGATCTCTCTGGCAGTACACCTGGACACATATCTTCTTTTACCTATTAATAATTTTAAAGACTTACATATAGGAGGGGGCTACAAAAATATCCCATACCACCACCTGCCGCAGTACAATGCGCCTTCAAAAAACACGTTAGCGCAGAGCCAGGTCACGGGGAAGGGAAGAATTCCATATCAGAGGCTGCATTCCAAACTTTTTCTTTCTTAAATGAGTCGATTTTCCCTTTACAAACTTAAAATATGAATTAGCTGGATAAGCGGGAACGAGAAAAACGTAACTGAAGAACGAGGCGTTAAAACTTAAGGGCTTATGCCCTTTTCCGCCTGGACTCAAACAACAGCCGGAGACGACCTGCTTCGCCGCGGTCCCCAAAGCAGACCAACCGCGGGCAGCCATAGCGACCCAGTGAGGGCTCGGACTCGCCTCTGTCTCCCACACCAAGGCGCGGCGACGGGGGCCGAAAGGGGTCAAGAGCCGCAAACACAACGCCGCGGGAAAAGCAGGAGAAACGCGCCTTCCGCCTCCTCCCACCCAAGCCTCACGCAGCCCGGGCGAGGCCTGGGCCAGGCGACACCCGCCAGGGAAAGGGGCGGGCCAACCCCGCCCGGAGACCCGAGGGGCCTCTCCAGGGCTTGGCTCCTCTTTGTCCGGGCACTGGAGGCGCCCCCCTTTCCGCCCGTGCCCCCAGCCAGCCCACGGGGCTGCGGCTGGGCGCCTCACCGTGATGTTGCAGTGGAGAGTGAGCGGTGGCAGCGGCGAGTGCGGGCTGCCCGGCGGCGCCGGAGGCGGCACCACGAACTGGCAGTGCAGCTCGTCCAGCTTCCAACTGACGATGCGGAATCGCTCGTGGTTCTTGTCGAAGATGGACGCCAAGAACTTCAGTTCGGCCTTAAGCCCTGACACGGACATCTTCCCCTCATCTCCGGCGGGAGGGGTGCTAAAGGGGAGCCGGGCCGGGAGCCACCGTCACGGCCGCGACCGCCCCGCAGGGCCGGCCTGGGCCGCGCTCTCGCGACTCCGCCTCTCC